ATGGAGTAAGCTAGGAACTAAGTTGTTGTTTTCTATTGTGACACATCTCCAAACTAATGGGCAAACTGAGGTAGTCAACAGAACACTTACTACCTTGTTACATGAGATAATCCAAACAAACTTGAAGAATTGGGTCAATTGTCTGCCTCATATTGAGTTTGCATATAACAGAGCTATTCACTCTTCTACTTCTTTCTCTTTATTTGAGGTTGTTTATAGCTTTAATCCTTTGTCTTCTTTAGATATATTACTATTGCCTTCTAATAAGTAAGCAAATCTTAAGGGTGAGAAAAAGGTTGAGTTTGTGTAGGGATTACATGCTAAGGTTAGAGCCAACACAGAGAGGAAGAATGAGTAATATACTAGGCAAGTCAACAAAGGTCGTCAGAGGATTGTCTTTGAGCCCAGAGATTGGGTTTGGGTATACCTGTGAAAAGAGAGATTTCCTGAACAACATAAATCTAAGTTACATCGAAGAGGAGATGACCCCTTCCAAGTCTTAGAGCACATCAATGAGAATGCTTACAAAATAGATTTGCCTAGTTCCTATGGTAATGTTAGTGCTACTTTTAATATGGCTGATTTATCTCTCTTTGACGTTGCAGATTTGAGGATGAATCCTTTCGAGCAGGGAGGGAATGATGGAGGAGCATAGTATGATCAAGAGCAAGGGCAAGGAGCCTAAACAAAGAAGTCTAACATTCTAAAAGATCCATTACAAGGCATTGGAGGCACAATGACAAGAGTAAGGACCAAAGTTATGAAGGAGGCCCTAAATTGTGTAATAAGTGAATTAAAAGAGTTGAAGCCCATTTATTTAGAGGAAGCACATTTTTGTGAGCCAAAAAAGAGTTCAAAAATGATGATCACATTGCTAAAAGCCCAACAAGATGATATACAAGGCCCATATGGGGTTCAAATTAAAGAATTCACTTAAAATGCCATGTGACAAGCATATGCCTTGGACAAGGATCAAAAGTGACGTCTAAGAACCTTCAAGAAGGATGAAGAAGGCATCATTATGAATTCATTATGATTTAAACTCTTTTTTTAGTCAAGGATTGTTCTAGAAGATCATGTTTTGATCTACTTTCCTATTTTTAAATAGCAGACTTGTTCTTAAAGTTTAAGTTATTTCCTTTTATTTCTATGTAATAAATGGTGCCTTCCATAGTCAAATAATCATTAATAAGGCATAAGTCCTAGCATTTATGTCTTAAGATGCTGAGTTTGGAGTCTTCTAAGGTTGCTTATGTATAGGCTATGTTTTCGTAATTGAATTTTTAGACTTAGATGAATGACAATTGAGTTTATTTCTCTATATGTGAACTTTGCTTACATCTTTGTATTCTCGTGAAAATACTCGATAGTATCAAGGGATTGATTTTCATGACTAGGGTTGTAAGAGATAGGTTCTCTTAATGTTCTACCTAAATTAACCGTCCATTTGTTACTTGATTCTAGTTTGTCCGTACGTCCCCCTCATATCAAGGAGTTTTGAGTTAAATTAAACCCTCTAAGATAGATTCTAAATAATATGGAATATCAAAACTGAGTAAGGAATCTAAAAAATGTCTTTTGAACTTTCAAAACTTGCCTAGTGGGATGATTTATGGGAAAAAAAAATGATGTATGGAAACCTAAGATTAGATGGAAGATGAATTGAGTTTTTGAACTAACGTTCAGATTTTGCACACACTATCATATTTGTTGTGATGAAAGCATGGTTATTTCGCCATGGCAAGATGGTTTGCTCGCCACAACAATAAGGTGTTAGTTCGTCATGTCAAGGGACCAAGTTTGCCGCAGCGAACAATCCAAGTTGTTGTGTAATTGGCTATGTTTTGTATATTGGCATGAGATTCTGAAATGATATATTATGCATCAAATACATGGTAAATGTTGTTGTATGGTATGGTGATATTTACTTGACACAGGTAAGGGATAAACTGAATCATATCTATTACATTTTCTTGTGATTATTATTGTAGACCTTGTATATGTGCTTAGGAAGTAGGTAAGGATTAAGAAATGTTATAATGTAATTGTGATTTATATATTAATGTGGGGAGGTGATGTAATAATGATATGACATAAAACCACACGATTTGCTTTCATAACATGCACACTAATTAGCCCCTTTGGAGAGGGTAACACACTCTCATTTGCAATATTCCAGAAGTATCTTGGGGCAGCATACCCTAAAGGCATTATACATGACAAGGTACTAGGCAATAAACTCAATGGGGCAACATATCCCTTCTCTAGATGAACCCATGGCCTGTGTGTACTTTGTTGACTTTTGTCCATTTGTATCATGCATGCAGAAAGCCTATAAGAGTCACTAGTTACAGTTAAGACTTAGCCCATGGGTTCAAGTCGATAGTTATATAAAGGATATAAGGCAGGAATTGAATGATTAATAATGGATAATAAATTATGGTTAAAGCATGCATATGTGTTAGTGTTTATTTTAGCTTATATGTTTGTGATATATGTTACTTATTACGTGATAGTAATATGTTTAATGATTATTTTAACTATTAGTCTCATTTGATGCCTCTTAGGAGTACTAGTAGGTAAGGTGAGTAGGAGTTTTTATTGTTGAGTTAGTACTATCATTTTGTTATATTTACCATTTTCAGTTAAAGGCAATCGAAGAGCCATAATGGGGAAGAAACTAGAGGCGTAAGGTCACTTTCATTGGTGATCTTGCTCCCAACCTTGTTATGTTTAAACATGAGTTATATGTCATCTAGGACATCTTTTTCCATTTTGTACATTCTCAATGTTGAAACTATTTATATGTTCTAAATTATAAATTTCTTGTTGAGAGCCTTTACGAGCCATGGATCTGTAATTGAATATTACTGAGGATTGCTTTGAAATGAGTTAAATTTAATTTTGCTATATTATTTGTCTCAACTGTGTCAATCAAGTACATAAGAGGCTTTTTATAACCATGTTAGGGGGTATAATCCTTTCTAACATAGGTTGTTGACTCTTTTATAGCCATGATATGTTACACTATTGATTAGTTGCCTTATTCTTTTATACTATGGTTATGAGACAAAGTAAGGAAATTTGGAATAATTTTTGTAAACCATTTCCTTTAATTAACATGATAATAGTGTTGACATTCCTTTAAGTTTAATAAGTTTCTAGTTAAAGGATTACATTTTATCCATGTTTAGGACTGTTATTTTTTCTAGTAAAGAGTTGTATTTCTTTTTGTGTATCTATTCATAAAAAAACAGTTTTTTTTTACATAAAGTCAAAAGAGCTAGAAATACATGAGAGTAATTTTTTAACCTCTATAATTAAAGTTACTACCCGTCAGCTTGTGCTTTGTTTATCTCCAAGGACATTGTACAAGCCTCCAAGCTTTCATAATTGATTCACTTTAATGGTTTTTTTGGACTGAAACTCAAATGTACTTTTTGGACTGAAACTCAAATGTACTTTTTTTTGTTTACATGAAGGGCCTGTATGGTTCAATTCCTTAATCCTTAGATATAGTAATGCAAGGCATTACAATGAAATGCAATGCAATCTTTACTATCGTTAATGTGTTTGGTGGCTTATTAAGAAGATCAAGCAAAAAATTGTTTTTGAAATTTAACCAGATAAAAATAATAATGAAAGGCCTGTACCGCCTTCAATAAAAAGGCAAAGAAAAACTTAATATATCACCCACGAGCCATCTTCAACCCCTCTTCCACATGATTTTCAGCAATGCTAAGGATCTTCCTAGTTGCTGGCTTTCCATTCTAATGTGTGGTCAATATATTAGGAAGATTCATTTAATGATTTCCCTTTCTCACACTGAAATAAGCCACATGGATCTTGTTTCCACTGAATGGTTTCTCCTCTGATGTGGCTTCAAGCATTGTGGGATTAGCCACCATGAACTTGACCTTAGAGCATGAAGAGCATTCATAGAGTAACTGGTCGACGAGGCATGTTCTGTACAACTTTGCAATATGAGGATGATTATTCTAAGGGTTCATCCTTGATTTTAATGTGTCAATCTCTAATATGAATTACCATTCTAGTTCAAAACTTGTGATAAACAATTTAGAATTTTTGACGTAGGTTTTGACTTCCATTCGAAAACTATTAATGCAGTCTCATCAACAATTGCTTCGAATAGGTGGAAAAGACAAAAAATAAGAGGGAATCCAAGTAATACAATGAACGGAGGGAAGAAGACGATTGTTGGAGAGGAAATAGACAAAGGAGGGGTTTGAAGAGAAAGGGATGCGAAGGAGAAATATTAAGGGCAAATGATGTCTTTTCACATGAGTTATTGAGGATAAAATGGACATTTTATGCAGAATTACAGTTATGTGATGATCATTCATAGGATTCTTCCTAGGGATAGATATTACCAAAATATGTACCATTTTTGTTACCAATGCAATCTCATTTACTAACGTTATGTCCAAACAAGCATGTTATTTATGATAATATAACAAGGATTATCATTGCATAAATGCAATGGAATTGAATCAAACGGGCTCAAAAAACACACTTAGAAATGCTTATGGCAAAAAAAAGGAAAAAAAAAAAAAAAAGGAAGGAAGAAGCTAGAGATGCGTGAAAGTATTTTGAATTCTATAATTATGCAATATTTTACTCCTCCGGTCCTAATTATAAGACCCAATTGACTTATTTGAGGAGATTAAGGAAGTAAGTTAAGTTGGTTATTTATAATAAATAAGTGTTGTCATTCCTAAAATATCCTTGCTAATTAAGTATATTGACTAAAACTATCATTATTAGAAGGATTATCTTGGAAAAAAATGCATAAATATAAGAGACAAAATGGATTGGGTCTTATAATTAGGACCAAATAAAAAGTCAAATTGGGTCTTATAATAAGGACCGGAGGAGTATTAGACAGAAATTCTCCCATCCTTACAAAATTGCCCATAGCTTCTTTATGATATTCCAGTGTTACCCTTTCAACTTGTAAACCCTTCTCGTTTCTCTCTCTTTGATGTTCGGCCGCTCTTCTTCCGCATCGGTGCCTGTCGCCCCTACCCCAGTCGTTGTCGACGGCTCCTGGTCCTGCAGACACCGGCGCCGCCGCCTCTCTTCCTCTATCCATCTTCATTGTTGTCAGGTGAGTATCTCTCCCAGATCATATTGATTCTTATGTTCTTTATCCTTGTTCTAGCTCTCACATGCCTCAACCATCTGGTTTCATGGCCCTGGTTGTATATCCATTTCTTCGTTGATTGAGATTTCCCGTTTCTTCTTTGTTTCTAGTTTCTCTAACAATTAGTCGAACTTAAAAATTTCTGACTTGCAATATATATAGGATAAACCCAGAAGCCTCGAAGTTATTATATAAGAGTACATTAGAAATTGAAGTAGGACTAAACAAAACCAAAAAGCTAAAGTTTATAAATGCAATACATAAGTTGGGAATATCGATATGCGCTTTAAAGAAGATTAAGTCGAAAATTGAAATAGCTTTTGGTTAAGACATCCTTGATTGAGTTCCATATAACAGTATTCATTCCATAATGGGCCAGCCCCCGACATCTGCGCCATGAGGAATGCAATATAGTATATATAATGAATGGTGATTCTGCCTATGTGGCTACACAGCCTTCGGTAAAAATGACTTCCCTGTTCCTGGGGGACCATCTAAAGCGATTGTTTTTGCGTTGGAATCTTGTGGCTTTCTATTTGGTCTACTTTGTTCCTTGTCCAATTTGATATTTATGCTCAATCATTATTGAGAATGTACTCTGAAGCTGTATGGCACGTTTGAAGGTTCAAATCAAGGATACTGTTGTATTATTAGTACTATTCAGGTGCCAATCTAATTGCTTGAGATGCTGCATGTTTGACTCTTACAATCGACTAATCTTGAACAATTGCTTTTTCTCTGTGTTTACTGTTTAGGTCACTTCATGATCACATGGGACATCAATTGGTTGATTTGTATTACCAGTCCTATGGTGATCTTCACTTTCATTTGACTGATTGCTTGTGACCTTCGCTTCTCAACCTTGGTGAAGTTTGATGTGCAACCTTATGTACACAGTTATGCCCCTCATTCTTGTTGTTTAAAGTATTAACTTAGAAGGGATTAGCCCATGGCTCTGAAGTTCATATCATAGCATTCTCCTTGCAATTAAGGTTTTGAAGGTGGTTGTTTACCCATTGATTATGTAACTTCTTATGGATCTTACAAAGTTTACACTTGCAATGACCTACAATTTTGTATTTTTAATGTGCAACTCACCAATAGAGAATTTTCTTAGAGTTCATAGTCTTGTAGCACTCCGATTCCAATGTTGTTTTGGTCATCATTGTGTAAAATGGAGGCTTAACTATTATTTCCTAATGTATGGAGTAACTTGTTATATGGTTGGGGTCTTGTCTCTTTTTATTCAACTTAATTTTCTAATTTTATCATATTTTACAGAGGTAAAAGATTTTTAAAAGCCTATTGAAATAAAGGGTTAAGGTGCAAATTTGATTTGGAAGTTTTCACTTAGAAGTACTTGGTACTCAAAAGTGTTTCTTTCTGCTGCAAATTTACCCTGAGAGTTTAAAATTATTGCAATATTGGCCCCTAGCATTAAAAATGTTAGCGGCTAGCTTCACTATTTTAACATTCAACATTAATTTTTTAAAGATAGGATGTAAGATTCCTCTGATTTTGAATTTTAGGGTAAATTTGCATCCAAAGAACAATTTTTTGAGTGCCCAGTGCTATTGAGTGAAATTTTTTGAGAGAAATTTGCACCTTAATCCTAAATTAATGAGATATTACATTATTAATAGAATCATCATTTAAAATGCATATAAAAATAATTTAAGATATATGGGTAAGGTAACAAATCTTGGAAATTTTGACTAATTAATAAAATTAATGAGCATATTAAAAGGCACATGAAAATATTTTGTTATATAAAAAGAAAATAAGGGCAAAGTTGTCCATATTAAAATCCCTCCCCTTTCCTTCTGAATCAAACAAGGTAACATTAAAACACCTCTCCTTCCTTCTCGTTGATTAAAACCTGACCCCTCCTCTTCCCTTCCTTTTACTCCATTAAAATCCCTCTCCTTCGTTAAATCAAAGACACCCTTAGCGAACTTCATCTTCCCTTTTAAAACATCAAATTTGTAAAATTTGAATGTTAATATACACTTTGATTACTATGAGAGTGATGTTCACGTTCCAGAGCTAGATTGATGTGCTGTTGGTATGTGGCTTCTGATTTCTCCGTCAAAAAGGCTCTCTGAAGGATGAGTTTTGATATCTAGTTACTTGTATTTGAATTTGATGATGGTAGATGTAACAATCATACTGCAGAAATTACCATTTTGAGTTTTTGAGTATATGTGATGGGTTGATTTTCATGCTACTGAAATTTTATGATGTGCCTCTGGTTATAGCTTGCACTTGCTTGTTTACACTTGCAGTTTTATGAGTTCTGAACCATCGGAGGCTATATTCAATGTGAACTTAAATGCTAAATCACTTGTTTACAGGATCAAAAGTTTCGTTTAAGCTCATAATTTCTGTTCAGATAGTTATGGTTAATTAGACAAGGCTTTTGTATCATTGGGTTACTGTTTTCTGATTCAGATTTATAGTTGGAATGTTGAAAGTTGCGACATGGAACCACTTTTTGACCAAATTGGAAGGGTCATTTTCTTATCATTCCTGTTCCAATTATTTCAGAAAACCTTAATCTTAGTAAGGATCTTCTATCTTCTGTATTTCTCTTAAGGAGTCCCTTCTTGTGGCAGTGATAAGCATAATGGCCTCAGCCCCAAGACAACTTCAGGTCCTCCGCCGCCATCTTCCAATGTGCTGCCATTATCGTCAGACCTCCACTATCCAGTGTGATTTAGTGCCATCACAAACAGACGATAAATCGCTTGTAACCCAAGTGGTGCAACTTCTCCAAGTACCTGAAAATGAGTGGAATGCCGATCAGCTTCATCCCATGCTGTTCTCTGCCACCACCATGCCTTGCCACCTACTCACAATCACACTTCATTTGGGTTCCTCTTCAAAAGCCTTCAATTTTCTTGAATACGTTAGGGCAAATGCACCATCTGAGCAGAGCTATTGTCTATCTCCCATATTCCATGGCGTTCTTGAGCTTTTTAGTAAAGAGCCCGTTTCAGAATATAAGCTTTTGGAGATTTACAAGAGAGTCAAGCAATGGCACATCCCGCTTACTTCAAGATCAGCCACCCTTTTGATTCAGTGTCTCAGAGCTGCTAAAATGGTGGATGAGTTGCTTCTGCTTTTCAATGACCTTGACCCTTCCGTGAAGAAAACTCATGTTGTCAATACATTGATTAGTGCATTGTTTAGATTGGGGCTTACTGAGAGTGCAGTCCAAGCGCTAGATGAAATGTGTAAACCAAATACTATGTTTCCTCCAAACAAAGTCACTGGTAATATTGTTCTTGCTGAATTGTTAAAGAGGCAAAGCCCTGTAAGAAGCATTACTGATGAGGAAATAGGTCAGTTGGTGAGGAAGCTAAGTGAACATGGTGTTTTCCCTGACACCATCAAACTCACACATCTGATCACCAAACTCTGTCAGAAACAAAAGACTTGGCTTGCTTGGGATCTTTTACATGATGTAATGAAAATGGGCGGTGCAGTTGAAGCCACTTCGTGCAATGCCCTCTTGACAGGGTTGGGAAAGGATAGAGATGTGAAGAAGATGAATGATCTCTTGGCCAAGATGAAAGAAATGGATATACAGCCCAATGTTATAACCTTTGGGATTCTTATTAATCGTTTATGCAAGTCTCGGAGGATTGATGATGCATTGAAGGTGTTAGAAGAAATGAGAGGGAAAGGAGGGAGTAAAGGGATGAATGTTGAACCTGATGTGGTCATATTTAACACCTTGATTGATGGACTTTGTAAAGTTGGGAGGCTTGATGAGAGCTTGAGCTTGTTGGAACAAATGAAAAATGATTGTAGGCCAAATACCATTACATATAACTGCTTGATTGATGGTTTCTGCAAAGCGAGCAACCTTGATAAAGCACATGAGCTGTTTGATCAAATGAACAAGGAAGGAGTGATACCAAATGTGGTCACCCTCAATACACTGATTGATGGTATGTGCAGACATGGGAGGATCAGCAGTGCTGTTGAGTTTTTCAACGAAATGCGAAGGAAAGGCATAAAAGGGAATTCTGTGACCTATACTTCTCTAATTTCTGCCTTTTGTCATGTGAACAATATTGATAAGGCCGTGCAATATTTTGATATGATGCTGAGCTCTGGATGCTCCCCAGATGTGATCGTTTTCTACAGTTTGATATCTGGTTTGAGTCTTGCTGGGAGGATGGATGATGCTACTTTTGTTGTGTCAAAGTTGAAAGAAGCTGGATTTGGTCTTGACTTATGTTGCTATAATGTGCTGATAAGTGGATTCTGTAAGAAGAAGAAGTTGGAAAGAGTATATGAAATGCTACAGGAAATGGAACGAACTGGAGTTAAGCCTGATATTTACACATATAACACTCTAATATCCTTCCTTGGCAAAAATGGAGATTTTAAAACTGCTTGTGAGATGCTAAGAAAGATGAAGGAGGAGGGTCTTTTTCCTTCTGTTGTCACTTATGGGGCAGTCATACATGCTTATTGTTTACATGGAAATGTTGATGAAGCCATGAAAATGTTCAGGGAAATGAGTTCTGCATTGAAGGTTCCTCCCAACACTGTTATATACAACATTTTAATAGATTCTCTGTGCAAGATTAAAGATGTAGAAAGTGCTCTTTTTTTGATGGATGACATGAAAGTGAAAGGGATTAGACCTAATACAACTACATATAATGCTATTTTGAAAGGCATTCAGGATAAGAAAATGTTACACAAAGCATTTGAACTAATGAATAGAATGGTTGAAGATGCTTGCAGGCCTGACTATGTGACCGTGGATATTCTAACTGAATGGCTTTCTGCAGTTGGTGAAATGAAAAAATTGAAAACTTTTTTGCAAGGGTACAAGGTTTCATGTTGTACAGCAAAGTGGGTCTAGTTCATGGTTTGGATACTTAATCAATTGATCATTATTCGTGTTTCAACACAGAAAAGCAGGTGCACATGTATATTCATTCTACTTGGGTTAGTTAAATTTTGCATGACTTCTTTACTTGCTTTATAGGCTTCAGCAGCTTTGGTCATGATATTGCTTGTTGCGATTGCTCACTTTTAAAACTTCTATGAAGTGGATATTTGTTATTGTGATGATTCCTTTTTTTCTCTGGATGGGGAAGAAGAATTTTGAATTAATTTTCTTTTTATTTACCTCTTCAATTTTGCTTCTTCCTTTTCAAGATCAGTTCTGCCTTTCTCTGTTTCTTTTTATTTTTATTTTTATTTTTTTGGGTGGCTATATTTTCTCTAATTTCTATATTTTCATTTATGTGTCTCTTTTTTGGCTATATTTTCACCTTCAAATTCAAATTCTATAGAAGTCAGTTGTGCCCTCTTTAGTGAATGTGCTAAAAATGCTTATTCAGCTAGTTGGAGGATATGCACTTTTCAGTTGTGACTGTCATGCAACTTGCTCGAGTTTTGTATCTTTGGGGGTAATTCGTAAGCGTTTTTGCTGTTAAAGAATGTTCATTTTTGTTTAAGAGTTTGGATTTATAGAATGCCTGTATTTGTCAAAGAAGAGAGATTTGGATGGGAGGTATTTGTAACAGTTTGGATTTATTTAAATCAGGTATAATATTCATAATGTTTATTTGACCTGCATTTTTTAATCTGACCAGTGCTGGCACAAGTGAGCCTGCTATCAATTCTTTTGTTAGAATAACAGCATTCAATGAGATGAATACAATTATATTTTTTGGCTTTAAGACCTTACAAGGTGACAACTTGCAACAATTTGTAGAAGGTTAGCATGGAAAATATCTTTGCTTATGACAAGCATGCTTTCTACTATCAATATATCCAAGCTCTCGCATAGATGGGAAATCAATTAAGAAAATCAAGATTATTATTATTATTATTATTTTTTTTTTTTTGTGGTGAACAAAATTTTTTAATTCAGGTAACATCTGTTGGTTTTATTGAGTCTTATATTTGTTTTATTATATATTGATGTTTTAAATCTTCTTTAACTTTTGAGGTGAAAAGGGAAAAAGTGAAAAACCTTTTTCAACTTCAATAACTGAACTTCATATTTAATATTGGGGCTCAATATTAGTTTCCTTGTACCGTCTTGCTTGGAATTTGGAATAAATTAAATCCTCAACCTCCTTTACCCAAGGTTCTGTGAAATAACAAACTCAGTTATTGAAATTCATGTAGGCAAAATATTTAGAAATGAAAGAGTTTAGAATGTTATTTTTCCCCCCATCCGAGCTTGCCTAAAAATTCTTTTGTACACTGTTACCTAGTGGGACAAGGCTTTTTGTTGTTGTTACAACTATTCACGGTTTGCCTGATTGAGCATTTCCCCCTTCAGCTAGTTAACTCATTTACCAATTATGAATAAAAGGATAAGTATTCAACCGTTAGATCTCCAACTGAACTGCAGGCTGATATAACATTTAGAGACTACATCCAGAAGCTTCAAATGAATGCCAGAACCATGTAACTTCACTATGGTACGCTACTATTCAGTATTCACTTTAATCACCGGATTGAGCTAAAATGAATTGAATCGTGCGCTAGCCTGGCGTTTTAAGTGCTTGTATCATAACTTTTTCACATCCAGGCTTAGTGCTGAACGGCCCTTCAGATAATTTATCTCTTGCACCAATCACTTGATACAACCGTGTTGCAAGCTTAAATAATGCATATTTTACTTTGTCTCCAGCACTCACGATTTATCTCATTGTGAGGATAAATTATGATGATTGGACTATTTTTTAATTTGTTTCCCCTGCTTCCTTATTTTGCACTGGAATTTAGTAACTTTTTGTGAAAATCTCTTTCAAGCTTCATGTAACATGGCAGGTGTGATTATGTCACCAGGCTTGATACCCTGAAGTTTGAAAAAACGACATTTTGAAAATCTCCCTCACAAGTCTTGTAAGACCATTATATAATGTTTCTATTTCACTTACGATTTTGCTTTTGCCCCGCTGTATTTGGTATTTTCTGAATACCCTCACCTTTTGACCTATTTATTTATTTTTTCTAATTTACAACAGCTCTGATGATTATTTTTCTATTCTTCCTACCCACCCATCGCCTGTGCCAGAGCTTTCTATGAGTGCTTCTGTCTCTATTTTGGAGCCTGTGTTTTCAAGGCCAGTGGTGTGGCGGGTCTTCTTGAGAGTGGTGTTTTCCAGAACTAACGTTGATTTGTGAGAGGCCAGTGTTGTGGCAGGGGTCGTCTTCTAATTTATTTTTGTCATGTTCGTATGTATAGGTCTGATTGTTGGTATCAAGAAAGGCTTATTGATCTGGATATGATGTTGGTTTATCCAAAGGTTTCTCTTTCTTATTATTAGGCCTATTGAATCTGTCTTCTTTGGGGGGGAAAAAGAGGGGGGGGGGGGGCGAAAAGAAAAGAGAGACTGCCTGATTTTTAGATGACAATTTTTTGGGAAGAAGCTTATCAAATGTCAAGTGATGTTAGAGGAAGGTAAATTAGAGATATTTCTTTGTATGTTATGCTGTTGTCTTCTCATGTATGCCAATGGCTATTGTCATGGAAAACTGTTTTGTCCCTATTATATGAAGTGTAGAAATTTTTATTCATTTCATTGTCAATGACAATTAACCAGCCACTTACAGTTTCACCACGATCAGTCAAATGGGATTTGGTTATTTGATACACGTGGATGTGGTTTAAGCTGGAGGGCGGTTCATCCAAAATAGGTAAGCTTGAAGGTTTAGCCAATGCATAAGAAGCAAGAAAATGTGCACTTCTATTGTCTTCCTTCTAACAACTTCCTTTTGTTCCCCCGGACATGGAATTATCATATTGCTGGCTCCTTTCCATGTCTTTGACGTTTACCTAATCCATCATAGGATGCCCCACTTGCCTATATTGGGCCTCAGCCTGACTTCTGCTATTAGCCGGCTTTTATCTGACATTCTTAAGAAAGGAAAAAATAGTTATCCATCACATAAGCGTCAACCTTGGACAAGGTGTGTGAAGTTGAAAGAACAAGTCTAAACTTCGAATCACAAGTCTCTCACTGCGTGCCACTAAACTTTCCTTTCACTTTCCAAGCATCAATGGAACATAAATATCTTGTGCTGAAAGCTTTGGCTACAGACTCAGAACACTGTTCATAAGCCATTGTATTAAAAAATATAATAAAAAATTCTCACTTCGGGCTGCGTGAATGGAGTGTAGTATTTGTTTGTGTCATACATGGATGGATACGAGGGTCCTCAGGCTGTCATAAAAGCAGAGAATAGAGCATCAGTCACCTCCTTACTTTCAAGCTCGTCTGAGTTATTCCCAAACATTTGATCTAGCTTCGTGTCTACCGGTATCACTGAGGTAAAATAATCATGCACGCTAATGGTTGAAGTTCTTCTATAACTATCCCTAAAACTGAATATTTCTCTGCAGGAGATGTTCTACCTAATACCGCAGGCATTTCTCTCTGATCTTAAGGTTGGTTTTAATGCGCCTGTCAAGGTGGAACAGCACATTACAAGAGAAAGAGTCCAAGCCATTAGGTTACTTGAGCGTACACTGAAGGAAATTCTGTCCATAGATTTTATTTTGTATGATGATAAGGTATCACCCACCTAGTGGGATAAGGCTTGTTGTTGTTGTTGTTGATGATAAGGTATCAACCATGATCGTATATATCGTCCATTCTTGTAAATCATAATTGTTTTACATCTATGGCAAGAATCGGGCATTGTATGAGAAACATATTGTTTTACTGCTGGAATCATGTCAGGAGAGCTCACCGTGGTAGTTGAATACTGTGAGAATTCAAGTGGTATAAACTTTTGCAAATTTCTGGTAGAGACATAATCTGTTTTTTTTTTTTTTTTTTCCCTTCCCTCTCATATTAATAAGATGAAAGACCAGGTGAAGTGTATCTTGCGTGGAAGGTGGGTAGAGGACGTGAGGAAGCACTATGACTCCCTTGAGTGACAGAAGAACGTGTTGTTGTTATCTAGTATGTTATTAGTGCATTCCCTTCCGAGATAGGTATTGACCATAAATTTCTGAATGCTGATATACCTTATCCTTTTGTATATGTTAATATTTGATGATTACACTCACGGTTTTATCAGGTATGCCAACTAAGATATCCGTTGACGGTGCTTCTCTGGTACAATGGAACCCGCAATACCCTGAGTTGCAAATGCTAAGGAATCTTATGATCGAAGAATGACTGGAATGAGCAGCTGTGATGAAGCCATTATTGTGTATCAGTATTATGGTTTAGTCGTAAATTTAAGGGTCCATGATTTAGAAGCACTTGGGGTTAGTTGTGCTATTTAGTATAACATGTAAGAACTTTATCTTCTTTTGTCTTTAGTGGTTCTATAATGGGTTAAATTTATTTTGGGCCATGTTTCCATGATCGTTTTGGGGTTAACCCATTTTGTAATGGTATCTATATTTTTAGAATGGTAATGTTGGCTTCATCATGTATGTTTCTGCGAAGTACTCAATATCAGTTGAAATTGTGTTTACCGAATCAGGCAAACTAAGTAGCTCGATCACTCTTCATGCTAAATTAAGGAGGGATATTGCTGAATGATGAAACCGCGTACTAAAATGTAGACTAATTAATCCAACAAGAATTATGCTCACGGACATGACAAGAGGAATTAATGCTTATGACTTGGACATAATCGTGACTATTTTGAACCCAGAGTATGTGAGTGATGTGGAAAGACTGAACTTTTTAGATGGAAAACAACGTTTTAATTGATAAAATTATAATGCAAAAAATTTTAGAATTATAGTACATATCTAAAATCGTAAATAAATAAAGCTAATTTAGCTTTCATTTGCCAAATACTCCATGACTAGAGGGATTAATTCTAATGACTTGGACATTAATGTGATTGTTTTGAACCAAAGTATATGAAGCTGTAAGGTCCAAACATGAAGGAACTAAATTATAGTAGCATTGCATAAGGTCTCATGTAAAATTCATCTTAATGTTTGAGAATAAAATAGTACCTCGTGTTATTTCATTTAAGTAAAAATTATAGAGTTGATTATATATATTTTTTCAGCAACAAGAGGTTAATGCCGTTATTTAAGGAAAATATAAAAGGAAAAATAACCAGAAAATGACTGTTGAAATTTAAAATGACAAAATAAGTATGCAAATAATTGAAATCACCAAATGGGCCTGGGTATCAATATGAAATTATTACAATTCGGTATAAAGACTAAAACACCTCTGAACACGAGCTAAAAACAAGACAAGTAAAAGCTTTGGAAGAGAGAGAGTTGAGAAGAGGAAGCTTGGAGCAAGAGTGGAAATACGGAAAGAGAAATAAAGATAAGCAATTTTTCTGTTAAAATGCTAGTATCGTACTCCTCCAACTATCACCATTCTGAAAACCTGATTTATTATGGTGGATTTGCTTGTGGGCAAGTTGGTTTGTAGTAAGAAAGGGTTGAACATGCGTATTACATAATAGAGTTGAGGTTAATGATGGGTTTGGGTTCTTAACTCGCTTTGCTGCTGCATGCTCGAATGGGGATGGGCTTATGAGTGTAGAGGGTTTAGATGAAGAATTTAACTGGGATGAGAGAGTGATGTATCAGAAATGGAAAAATAGTGGCAATTGATAACGTGGGCATGAAGTTTGAGGGCAAACAGTAAGTATGAGGTGGTCAATGTTGTTAAATTTATTAGTGGAATTGTGAAATCCTATATTTAAGTTGTCAATAGAGGAAGTGGGTGGGTGTGTTTTTTGGGTGTTTTGGAAGTAAATGAAATTGATTATTAGGGAACTAAAATATTGATTTATGCTCCCTTGCTATAGGTTAGCAAGCTCTGATGACATCTAACATTGGGTTTAACATTGAGGGGTAATTTTTTGGTGTGAATGAAATTACTTTTAAACTCTTAATTTTTTTGAGAGAAGTATTGATAGGTAGGCTATCTTTTTTGTAAATGATATTAACTAGATAGGACATATTTTGTAATCTAAATGACAAGAAAACATTAGGTGGTGGCTTAATCTTAATGTTAACTTGTCATTTGAATATACGTTATGTAGCTTTTTTCATAGGTCTATTGGTTTTTGGTAAATATTGTCACTTTAATGATCAATTCCATTATACATGTAGTAAAGTCTCAATGTTAATGTAAACACATTATAATGTTTTTTAGGTGTACTTGTATGCTATTTTGTCAACACATTTTACCATTTGTTTAATTCCCCCAAGGGAGATGGTTGAGGTTGCCAATGGGCATGACAGGAGTAGTTAATTTGATTACTAATGTTAGTATTTGCATTACAAATATTGTTATTATCATTATCAGGGTAGTGAAATTGGTTTTAAAATAGATGTTACTTGTGTTTGAAAGAAACGAGTTGCAAATAGTAATAGCGAGATTGTAACTCTCATTATGAATGGTGTAATTCACATTACAAATGTTGTCATTATCATTATACAGGTAGTGAAATTGGTTGAAAATAGATGTTACTTGGGTTTGAAAGAAATGAGATGATAATAGCGAGATGGTAGCTCTCATTATGAAAGTTCTAATTCACATTACAAATGTTATCATTATTATTACTGGGGCAGTAAAATTGGCTCCAAATGCTTGTTAATTGGTTTTGAAAGAAACGAGTTGCAAATGACAATAGCAAGATGGTAACTCTCATTATGAAAGTTATAATTCACATTACAAATGTTATTATTATCATTACTAGAGTAGTGAAATTAGCTCCAAATACATGTTACTTGGGTTTGAAAAAAACAAATTGCAAACAGTAATACTGTCACACCTTACTATTATTTTGACTTAGGTTCCTTTCAAAACTATTTTAAACCATATTGGATGATCTTGGCTCACTTTTTACCACAAAAACGCTAAATTTTGGATTTTTACTGTTCATCGGGTAAAAATCCAGTTTTTCTGGCCCAACTTCAAAAATTCATAACTTATTCCACAAAAATTCAATTGGGGTGGTTCAAAATTCTACTTAAAGCTCTTTAAGTCCTCTTTCAAAAAAAAAATAATCTCATTGTCTAATTCCTTATGAAAAAGCATCAGGTTTTTGAGAAACGCAACACTGTCCATTTGCCAAAAACCCTTTTCCCAGATTTTGACATTTAACTTTGAAAAATCATTATAAATCATATACTGGGTCATTTTTAATGTATTAGCTATCAATTTGAAGATCAGGACGTTAACTTTCATCATACCAAATTTCATGATTTAACGTGCATGGGAGCAATATCAAAAGGTCACGTGAACCAGTCAGTGTTAGTGTGCTTCCAGCACTGTTAGTATAATATATACATAACCAAAATATGATCACGAAAATTTGTGGCTAAGCCCCACAATCAACCTTCAATCTGCAGCTTCCTTTGGAGGATTCAGGCCATAAAATATTAGATTGCATTTATGGAATGAGATTTCATGGAAATCCCAGTAGCAAATTAACCAACTATAGCACCAAGCAAGCATCATTATTATGTATGATCACATTAGCTACTATTGGTGAACTAACATGTTTATCATTTGGCAAACTCAAACATGCAAAGGCCAAAGCAAGATACTATAAAGAGCAGCCACATAACAATCAAGAAAGCTCAACCATAATAATAGCAATTAACCATACAATAATCAATAATGCTAGTTAGTGGTAGTAGCTAGGTTTAACTTACTACCTTGCTCCAAAAGCTTTAGCTTTTCTTCCTTCTCCTCTTTTCCTTTACAAATATCAAACTCTAACCATGCAATCCATCAGAAGGGCAGCAAGAATCATTATTCAACCATGAAAAAGCAAGAACATAAATCAAAATGATTCTTGAACCATAAAGCTCTTTCCTTTGTTCACTATTTTTAAACTTGGTTCTTTTTAACCCAAAAAATCACTTCTTGACTTAATCCTATATAGTTTTTCATGTAGATTCCAAATATGAGCTTAGATCTAGAGAAATAAAATTGCTTCTTCCAGCCACAACCTGACCGGACCACTAGAAGTTTTAAACCAAAAATCACAACTTTGTTTTTAAGCTTCCAACACTTGTTCTTTTTAGTTTACCCTACATCATTCCTCATTTTAAGCATCATGGAAGCCTTAAAACATTGAAAAACTCATTCTAGGGTTTAGTCCTTCACTTGGCCGAAATGAACACTTGAGGAAATAACTATGAAAAATGCTTTAAAACAACCTAAACTCACTTGCAAACACTAAGATCTAACTTGTGTTGTTGTATCTTAGCAAGTGTGATGAACAAAACTCCCTTCCCCTTTTATTATCCAGTTCGGCCAGCCACAAAAAGAGGGAGAAGACAGATTTTTCAACCATAAAAAGGGAAGAAAAGAAAGCAAGACACATCTAAAACCATGAACTCACCTTGAATCCTTGCTTGAATGACCAAAGGAGCTCACTTTCTCTTGCTTTTCCTTCCAAGTTCTCTCTTTTCTCTCCTCTTTCTCTCTTGGCCGAAATGCTCATCTAAAAATGGGGGAGGATGAGCTTGATTAATGGTCCAAAATATCTCAACCACCTTCTTTAATGATAGTCCAAGTGTCATTACCCTACTAAATCTTGATTTCTCTTTCATAATTAACAAAATTCCAAATGAAATTATTTACTAAAGTCAAGATCCTCTCCATTTGAGGAATGACACTTGGCAAATTCAAATCTTCTCCTTCAAGAGCTTGACACATGGCTCAATATGATCCCTTTGATTTGCAAGACACTAATCTTGCTTTATCAGTATACTTTAGGCTCTGAGTTTAACTTCTTTTCTATAATTACAGTAGCTTAACCTCTGTAATTATTTTCTGTTAGATCCTTAATTTATTCTCCTCATTATTATCTTCCCAAATTTCCCTCTTTGCCTCAAAATTAATTTCCTAATAATTAATTAAAAAGGAAAATTAATTTCCTTCTCTTTAGGGATTTTTCCACTTTTCATCATTATTTGGAAAAATCTTGGATACTTGAGGGTCTTCATTTAATTCCATAATTCCTTGGGGTCTCATAGGAATTTTATTAGAATTTTATTCCCCTTAAAAATATTTATTTGGGATTTTCCAAATAAAATCCCTTAATTAGCCTAAGTCACCCTTAAATTCTCTTATAAATTATCCAAGGGTAATTTGGTCATAAAACTAACTTTATAATTTTTATATAGCTCTCAAAGGATATTATCCTCATTTTTTCTTAATTATCCAAGGCTTGGAAATATTTTTCCTTATTTAAATTTTGACCAATTTTCCTTAATTAGTCAAACTCCTATTTTTGGCTTAGAAACTACTAGAATTATTTTCAACCAAAATTCTCCTTATTATTTTTAATCTTCAATAATTTGGGAATATTTCTTATTTCTAATTATCATAATGCTGGAAGTGACATTTCTCCCCCCTAAATAAATTTCATCCTCAAAATTTAAAGCATACCTTAATGGAAAAGCTCAGGATACTTTTCCCTCATCTCAGTTTCCATCTCTCATGTAGCTTCTTCGGAGGAGAGACTCTTCCAGACC